CTGTGCCAGGCTGCCCAGGGCAGTGGTGGAGTCCCCACCCCTGGAGGGGTTTCCAAGCCGTGGAGATGTGGGGTGAGGGACACGGGGCAGTAGGGACCTGGCACTGCTGGGGGAACAGTTTCACTTGACAATTTTAAAGGTCTCTTCCAACCCAAAGAACTCTGTGTTTGTGGGAGGACTCACCTGGAGCTGGGTGTACTGACAGCTCCCCATCAGGCACTCAGGGAAGAGGAAGCCAGGATTGCTGGGCCACCTGAGCTGAGGTTAAGGAACAGTCTGGAACACTCAGAAAACTTGTCAAAAAAAATCAGCGTGGTTCTGGCACTCGGTTTGTGGAGGGGAAAGGAGAGAAGATTAAACTCCTTTTTACAGAAATCATTATTCTGTAATAAGATTTATCCATATTAGAACGAAACCATTAGCACATCTAATCCACAATTGCCCAAATCTTGTTACCCTTCCAAATCTCCCAGTGTTGCACCTCACCAAGGCAAGTTGCTGGAGCTCAGGGGCTTAAAGTCAAATGCTCAAATCCTTCATTGTGCCCTAAAACGGGATGAATTCTGTGAAATCTTAAAATACCCACAAATCCCATTAACAGCAATAACAGTCTCTTGTTCAGGAGACTTCTGGTGAAATTTGGGTGTGGAAAAGATGGATTTTGGAACTGGGTGAAGCTCGGTGGTCAACGTACAGCCCTGGCACTGCACAGCCCACCCTCTGAAGGGCTCTGCTAGCCCAAACCCTGCTCCCACAGCCCCTCTGGCACCCTCAGGAGTGGAATTCCACCCTGTGGAAGGATACAGGAGGGGCAGGAAGTCGGCCACGATGGCAGTGAAGAGATGGGGCCAGTTCAAACTCGTTTCACCCAAAGCAGCATTTGGTTGTGAGAAGAGTCTGGCTATGATGTGCTTTCTGGCCACGTCCTGGAAGAACAGCTCCACGATTGTCTGCGGGCCAGACACTGAAAAGATGGAGTCAAAGGAGTGCTGAGAAGAGGCCCTGCAGCAGCCACCTCGGGCTCTGACACCCTGCTGTGCTCATCAGCCCAAACACCTCGCATTAAGTCAGAGCCTAACGAGCGTGCTCAGTACTACAGGCTTGTTGGTTTTGGGTTTCTCCTGCTGTCTGGTTAAGTCAGAGGGAGCAGCAGGAGATCAAAGAGCCACACACTCCATTGTTTCTGAACCACAACTCAACTCTGGAGGGCAGAGGGCTGTACTCTCCCCCTCTGCTCACACCAAGCCAGCTGAGCTTCCCAGTGGGAGCCAGCATTCCTGGGGCAAGGCTGAGGGTGAGTGGACTTGGCTCTCTGGCTCTGGGCAGATGCCTCCCCCCCTCCTCATTCCAGCACCCCGATCTCCCCTGCGCTCCCAACGCCTCTCCCTCAGCTGCCACCTCCTTTCTCTCTTCCCCACGTCTCACATATTTTTTCCTGCAGCACAGCAGCCAAACAGGACTTTCCTCATCAGCAGGCCAAGAAATAACCCACGGCAGTGGTGCACACAAAGGAGGTTTTCAGCTTGGCTCTCGGGTGCCGACATTTACGTCGAGGTCTCCTGCACCCAGACTCTTGCTGGGGAAGAGTTCAGGCTCTGGAGGTCACAGCCCTGCTCACAAAGAGCACGGAGGCCCCAGGCCCAGCAGCAAGCAGAAGGATTTCTCCCCCAGCTCACAGCCCCGTGGCACTGCTGCCTCTTTGTCACTGCTTTTCTCAGCCTCCTCTGAAGTGTTTCAGCCTCCATGCACAGACTAGTCCCAGCAGGCTCTCACCTGCATGTTTCCTCCCCTCCTCCCTCTGTAACCACTTCAAGGTACACATCCTCCTAATTAACTTGCCCTATATTCTCCCTCAGTAGATTTCTCCCCCTAGACCACAGCGTGTGTCTTTGCAGCAAGACTTAAAACACCAATGAATGATCAGCTGCAGCTTCTCCCTGGAGCTCCCAGCTGTGAGCAGCCCTCACATCTGAGCTGCAAAGTGTCAGAAGCACAAGCTTGTTTTGGGGAAGGATTTCTGCCTTCTCTCACTTCCCCAAGCTGCTGCTGCTCCCGGTTGCTGCAGGATAAAGGCCAATGAGCAGGACAGAGCAGATGTGACCCACTACAGCCACGGTACTGTAGAGGAGATGCAGATACTGCTGGGGCCAGAACTGGCATTTGGCCAAGTGAGGCCTTCCCTGCACTGCAAGAAAGACCCTGAGGGGCTGGAGCGTGGGCAGAGAAGGGCAATGGAGCTGCTGGGGAAGGGTCTAGAGCCCAAGTGTGGGGAGGAGCAGCTGAGGGAGCTGGGGGTGCTGAGCCTGGAGCAAAGGAGGCTCAGGGGAGACCTTCTGGCTCTGCACAGCTCCTGACAGGAGCCTGGAGCCAGGGGGGGGTCGGGCTCTGCTCCCAAGGAACAAGCAACAGGACAAGAGGCAACAGCCTCAAGTTGCCCCAGGGGAGGTTTCAGTTGTCCCTGAGGAACAATTTCTTGCCCTGGAGGGTTGCCCAGGGCTGTGCCAGGCTGCCCAGGGCAGTGGTGGAGTCCCCACCCCTGGAGGGGTTTCCAAGCCGTGGAGATGTGGGGTGAGGGACACGGGGCAGTGGGGACCTGGCAGGGCTGGGGGCACAATTTCACTCTATGATCTTGCAGGTCTCTTCCCACCACAATGATTCCCTGATTCCCATCCTCCCTGGGCTGAGGTCAAGACCCACATCTCTGGTCCAAGTCCAACGCTACAAGATGCTGTTACTGTGGTTGGTTTTCAGTGGACAGCATGACAACCACCTCCACACAACGTGAGGCCCCCCAGGCAGCCCAGGGCAGTGGTGGAGTCCCCTTGGGAGGCAGAGCTGCACGTGTGAGCCGTACCCAACCGAAACTGGGAGCTGTGGGTGTCTCACCTAGCTTGTGGGGTGCAAGCACAGTGGTGTCTGCCAGCTCCAGCACAGAGAGATGCTGCAGATTAGATTCCCTAGAGAAGAAAAAGCTGTCAGTGAAGAGACAACACAACAAAACGCCTCCTGCTTTAATTATGCTCATTGTTCAGCTCAAGGACTCCTACTGCTGCAAAAGGCAACAGCAGGCAGAACACTGAGAGCTCCCAGGGCAGAATTAGCACAAGGCAGAGTCAGCTCAAAACGTGGAAGGAGGAGGGGGGGAAAAAAACCCTCCCCAGCACAACCTGCCTCCTGGAGAGAGGCTCCCCCAGCAGCCACCAGCTCTGCAGACTAGGGAGGGCATTTCAGGGGGATTTAGCAGGGGCCTGTAATCACTCAAAGGCAGAATGGGCACGGCCAAGACTTACAGGGTGTCCACAGGGACGTCAGAGGCCAGGCACTGGCTCGCCCACCGGATCAGGTAGTAGGAGAGCAGCAGGGGAGAGGTGCGGTGCAGCAGGTCCTGCTGAGACTGGAAGAGCTGTCCCCCTCCCAAAACCATCTGCAAGCAGACCACAGAGGTGGGCACAGTGAGAGGATGATCCCAGATCAACAGCAGGACAAGGGCAGTTGGTGAAGTTTGTATCGGGCTCAGCTCAACCCTCCTGCCAAGCCCAAGGTGGTCAACAGCCCAGAAGTTAACTCGACCCACCCAGAGGACCAGCAAGGGTCCTGCACACAGGAGAAACCCCCAGCCACAAATTACAGTGTCACCTTACACCACTTAGTTCAGAATAGTTACCACTCTGGTGGCCCAGACCCCTTGGGCAAAGTTGTAGAATCATGGAATGGTTTGGGTGGGAAGGGACCTTTCCAAGTCACCCCATCCAACCCCCCTGCAGGGAGCAGGGACAGCCCCAGCTAGAGCAGGGTGCTCAGAGCTCCATCCAACCTCCCCTGGGATGGTGCCAGGGATGGGGCA